AAGAAGGGATCAATGCTTTGCAGCTTGAAAACTCTAAATGCTAAAAATCTGGCTTAAAAAGTGAGGAGAAAATTAATTCCAAATATAAACATTTACTTATAAAAAGCTACCAGCAAATCCAGATGATTTAACAAGGAAAACAGAAGATTTCAAGATGAATCAGACATTCATCAGATTTAATACCTGGAGGAGAAAGAATCACTGAATTTTTAAAATCATGTATTTTTTTACATTTAACATTTAAATACCAACCAAAACATAGTTTCTCCTTGGCAGATGCTACTTCAACAGTCCCTTTCTCCTACACTTTTAGAAGAAGGGCCTCAAAAGATGCATTTTTAAGGGAAGAGCAGTTTCAGTAGTACTGACAGATAGCACCAACACCAACAGCTAATCCTGCAGTCAGCCCTTAATCAGGTCAGATCTATAGCACAGGGGGCACGTGGCAGTGACTCTGCTGTTGAAGTTGGTTTGAAGCTTGCACACAACAGGACTAAAAGGTTTCTTGTCTTTAATGACTCAATTTTTAGTTTCCAAATCTGAATCTGTTACTCTCAAAAAAACCCGCAAAATCTTAACATGTTTTCTAATCAAAATACCTGTTAAGTATTGCAAAGGAACATCTCAAAATGTTTGTCTTGGAAGTTGTGCCTTGTCTGCCTGACATTTGGGCAGCAAGTTTAGGAATTATCCAAATACTACCTTCACAGACTGTGAGCTTCCCAATTCTATTCAGCTTTTATGAATTCAATGTTCACAACACTACAACACAATACTGAACTCAAAAGTTAGTTCTAGCACTCAGAATAATCAGAGTTGTGATTCATTTAAATAAAAGGAGATATTTAAATTCTTCAGGAATTTAAGACTTCTCAGGTACCTTCCTTCCCTGACCTATCAACCACAGTGAGTGTAGAGACCCCAGTGAATCAATGAACAGACTGGGGAAAGGGATAAGCAGAGAGGGAGGATGAAACACGAAGAACAAGTGGAGCTTGGAGACCACTGTGAGGAAAATGTCAGCAGCCAAGTTAGCAGATGCTGGTGAGGAGAAAAAGAGACCTGCCAGGAGCCAGCAGCTCTCAGGTGTGTGGCTGAGAAGGTGACATGTCCTACCTAGTGAGTGTGGCCGGCCAGGAGTGTTGTGAACAGGGTGGGGAAAGAGGTCACAGAGCAGCAGAGAGTGAGGTCCTGCGGCAGAGGCACCGCGCGGGAAGGGCGCTGGAGATCTGCCAGCTCAGCCAGAGGGGACAGGCCACCCAAGAGGACAACAACATCTAGTGAAGCTATGCAGGGAGAAAATCAGAAGGGCCCAAGCTCAACTAGAGCTCAGCCTGGTTACCACTGTTAAAGACAAAAAGTGTTTCTATAAATACATTAACAACAAAAGGTGGACTAAGGAGAATCTCCACCCTTTACTGGATGCGAGAGGAAACCCAGTGACCAAGGATGAGGAAAAGGCTGAGGAACTCAGTGCCTTCTTTGCCCCAGTCTTCAGTAGTAGGACCAGCTGTTCCCTGGGTACTCAGCCCCCTGAGCTGGAGGACAGGGATGAAGAGCAGAAGGAGACCTCCAGAATCAAAGAGTAAATGTTTAGCGACCTGCTACATCACTTAGACATACACAGATCTATGGGTCTGGAATGGGGACAGCCAAGACTACTAAAGGAGTTGGTGGAAGTGCTCACCAACCCACTTTCCATCATTTATCAGCAGCCCTAACTGGGGAGGTATCACTGGACTGAAGATTAGCAAATGTGATGGTTATCTACAAGAAGGGCCAGAAGGAGGATCTGGGGAACTACAGATCTGTTGGCCTGACCTTGGTGACAAGAAAAGTTGTGAAGCAAATTACCTTGAGTGCTACAACATGGCTTATACAGGACAACCAGGTGATCAGGCCCAGTCAGCACAGGTTCATGAAAGGCAGGTCCTGCTTGACCAACCTGATCTCCTTCAATGACCAGGTGACTCTTCCAGCAGGTGAGGGAAAGGCTGTGGATGTTCTCTACCTGGATTCAGCAAAGCCTTTGACACTGTTTCCCACAGCATCCTCCTGGAGAAACGGGCTGCCCATGGCTTCAATGGGTGTATGCTCTGCTGGGTAAAACACTGGCTGGACAGCTGGCTCCAAGCAGTGGTGGTGAATGGAGTTAAATCCAGTTGGTGGCTAGTCACAAGTGGTGTTCCCCAGGACTCAGCACTGGTGAGACTGTACCTGGAGTACCATGTTCAGTTTTGGGGCCTTCACTACAGGACAGACATTTGGAGTGCACCCTCAGTAAGTTTGCAGATGATACCAACATGGGTGGAAGTATTGATATGCTTGAGGGCAGAACTCCTGATAGGGACCTTGACAGGCTGGAACAATGGGCCAAGGCCAGCTGTATGAACCTCAGTAAGTTTGCAGATGATACCAACATGGGTGGAAGTATTGATATGCTTGAGGGCAGAACTCCTGATAGGGACCTTGACAGGCTGGAACAATGGGCCAAGGCCAGCTGTATGAACCAGCAGGTGAGGGAAAGGCTGTGGATGTTCTCTACCTGGATTCAGCAAAGCCTTTGACACTGTTTCCCACAGCATCCTCCTGGAGAAACGGGCTGCCCATGGCTTCAATGGGTGTATGCTCTGCTGGGTAAAACACCAGCTGGACAGCTGGCTCCAAGCAGTGGTGGTGAATGGAGTTAAATCCAGTTGGTGGCTAGTCACAAGTGGTGTTCCCCAGGACTCAGCACTGGTGAGACTGTACCTGGAGTACCATGTTCAGTTTTGGGGCCTTCACTACAGGACAGACATTGAGCAGGTCCAGAGAAGGGCAATGAAGCTGATGGAGGGCCTAGAGCACAAGTCTTACGAGAAGCAGCTGAGGGAACTCGGGCTGTTTAGTTTGAAGAAGAGAAGGCTGAGGAGAGACCTTTTTGCTCTCTGCAACTACCTGAAAACATGTTGTAGAGAGGTGGGTACCAGTCTCTTCTCCAAGTAACAAGTGATAGGACAAGAGGAAATGACCTCAGCTTGTGCCAGGGGAGTTTTAGATTGGATATTAGGAATAATTTTTTCACTGAAAGAGTTATCAAGCACTGGAACTTACCTTCCCAGTTAAGTAGCTGAATGACTTTTGAATCAAAAGTCTTGGACCTGGGGTTACTGATCAACAGCCACCTGAGTATGAGTCAGCAGTGTGCCCACGCGGCCAAGAAGGTTAATGGCACCCTGGCTTGTATCAGGAACAGCGTGACCAGTAGGACCAGGGAAGTGACTGTGCCCCTGTACTCAGCACTGGTGAGACTGTACCTGGAGTACCATGTTCAGTTTTGGGGCCTTCACTACAGGACAGACATTGAGCAGGTCCAGAGAAGGGCAATGAAGCTGATGGAGGGCCTAGAGCACAAGTCTTACGAGAAGCAGCTGAGGGAACTCGGGCTGTTTAGTTTGAAGAAGAGAAGGCTGAGGAGAGACCTTTTTGCTCTCTGCAACTACCTGAAAACATGTTGTAGAGAGGTGGGTACCAGTCTCTTCTCCAAGTAACAAGTGATAGGACAAGAGGAAATGACCTCAGCTTGTGCCAGGGGAGTTTTAGATTGGATATTAGGAATAATTTTTTCACTGAAAGAGTTATCAAGCACTGGAACTTACCTTCCCAGTTAAGTAGCTGAATGACTTTTGAATCAAAAGTCTTGTAGATATGGTGCCTAGGGACATGGTTTAGCAGTGGACTTGGTAGAGTTAGGTTTATGGTTGGACTTAAAGGTCTTTTCTAACCTAAACATTTCTATGATTCTAAGAAATACTGAGCAGAAGTCTTAATGTTTGTTCTCAATAGCCACATCAAACTGAAAATTATTTCCTTTTACTTGCTGATTTTTGTACATCTTACCATTCTTAATTTCTGAAGTGCTTTATTAATGCTGTACACTGCAAATATTTTTAGCAAAAACCGTGCAGTACTAAACTCAAAGAGAAACATACATCAAGTTAATTCTACCAGTATCTTGTAAGCTTTGTCTCATTTTAAGAGGAACTATATTGCCTACCACAAATTATGTCACCTCATTATCAGTTGAATGCACCATTTTTCTGCAAAGGAGAATAATGCAAAAGCCTAAAATTAACAATCAATATTATACTTTTTATTTTAAGTATTGATCTATATCTTCCACCTTGCACAATCTCCCTGGTAACAACAAAATTAACTACAGATCTTTTCAACCAACGACAGCTCAATTGAATTTTTCTTTATCTCAAATGTGAGCGGCTGACTTTTATATCATATAAGCACCTGCTGTAAGGAGCACCTGCAATATTCTTCTTGGAGCTGTTAAGCAGCTGCAGACCACTTGTGCTGCAACCCTCATTAGCAAGGCTGTGTGGCCTCAGCCTGACGAGAACTCTCATTTGTCTCCTTGGTACATGACTTTAGGGCTCCACAACTCTCAAACTTTTGCCAGAAGACAGCACTGCAAAGACTAGTGACAACAGTTCATCTTTGGGTATTGTCCCACAGCACTACAGCTGCAGAGCACACACAGGTCTGCACAAGCAACACCCTTTCATGCCCTTCTGTATCTGGGTGAATGCCATGCCAAGGACCCCGATTCTTTTAGATAAGAGTGGAACTAAGTGCCCATGCACAATGCTGGTATGGTATTTCAAAAAGTCTGAAAACACCTATGAATAAAAAAAAAGGGAAAAAAATGTATTTTCACATACGCATTCTTATACATATGTATTTGTTTACTCATATTTTATATACATGCAAAAACATATGCATTTTCAGATGTATAAGCATACATGTATATATGTACAAACATGTATGTGTGCATATATAAACACACAGTAGTTCAGACATAGTAACAATTAGTTTAAGAAAAATTCTGCATGTGTCTTCCATGTTCATCCAAAATCTAGCCCCTGCAAAATAATACTCATTTCACAATAAATAATTTTTTTTAAAAAATAATTAACTATAGCTGTTTTAGAGAAGAGAATAGCTCTTACCTGCTTTACCACTGTGACAGTGCCAGGTGCCATGGTAACCACAGAGGCAACTGCTGTGGCATCATGGCTTTCTGACCCCAACTCAATGATTTGCTGCAGGATGTTTACAGCCGTTGGATCAAGTCTTTCACCTTACCAGAACGAGAAGATCATCACAGTTAAACAGCTCAGAGAGTATGTGAGTGTAAGAGCTACAGGCATTCCTTCCCCTCCTGCTCTAACCCTGACTCACAGCGCTGTTTATGAATTTCAAACAGCTCAATAATATGGCACTTCAAGAATAGATCTATGGCAGGAAAAGATTCACAAAACAAACTTACCCAAGGCATGCATGAATCAGCAATAGAAACCCCACTGATCATTTTTATGCCTGCTTGAAAGAGATCTAAAAGAATACATTGACTAAATCAACAATAGGTACAATTCATAGCAATAACTGTCAATTAGGAAGCTGTAAGACTTTACAAATCCAAATATGTATATGCCAGAAATTCAGCTTGAACAGAACCTGAACTCTAGACCCAGAACCACAACAGCTATTTGGTATATTACAAACCTGTCTTTCCCATCTCTCTGGCCATTTGCAATAACCCTCAACCTCAAAGAAGTACTGCTATCACTAATGCGCTGAAAAAATAGTTAATCCCTTGAAAGAGCTCATGCTTATCATTTTATAAGCACAGGATCAGAACATGTTTTTTTTTTTTAAATCCCCTTGCTATGTGTAGCCCTGCCAAAGGAAAGGCAAGTTTACAAAAAAACCCATCTTACATAGTTGCACTCTCACTTCTCCCAAAGTGTGAAAACCAAAGATCTGGGCACTGGAAAATGTTTTGGTTTTTTGCTATGCAGGAATACCAATTCCTCTCCTGTGGCCCACCATTCCCACATGCCCAGAGTCAGCAGGAGAGGTGTGTTAGAAAGGGAAAGACACTGTCACAGTCATGTTAAACCTGCCTTATATGTGCTGGAACCACTGTTGGAACCAGGAAAGAATAAATAGAATAAAGCCCATCTCTTGGCCTCAAACAGTTTCAGACTGGGGTTGATACTGTGATGGGGATCTAGGGCTGACCATTTCATTTCAAACAGAAAGTAGTTCTGTTTTGCTATCTATGTAAGAAACAAGTTCATCCAAGTAAGAACGTTTGCTTGCTTTAGATTTTTTTTCCTATATAACTGCCCTTAGACAAGACTACTGTTTTTCATAGCTAAAGGGAATATGCTGGAAGAATATCTGAAGTTGGATGCACTAAAAAGCAAATCTTATTCTGAAAACTACAGCCTCACACTTAAAACTGTACAACATACTACATGATCATGTTTATTTTAATTTAAATACATAAAAGCTCTCAAGGTTTTTTACTCATTCAGAATTCTCAGTCATTAAAATAAAACAATATGCAGAAATTGTCAGGAATGTAATTTAATTACCACATGCTTGGAAATTCCATTAAAAGTAGGAGGTTTTGAAATGTATCTGTATTAAAAACGATAAAGACCTCAATGGTCAACAACTCTCAAATACTATCTCCTGATAAGCCATGTTTTTATTTATATATATAAAAATTAAAACATATAAACACCTAACTCTAGTCTCTGATGTTTTAACACACTCAGAAACCCATACATTTTTTTTTCCTTCCAGTTTTTTGTTATTTCCCACTTAGCAATCATTATCTAGTCCCACTCTTCCTCAATCTGACACCGAGTAATCTACTTAAGTTTTGTGTGTACTGTCACTAGATACACACCATCTAGTCTGCCAGCTTAGCTGAGTTCACAGTGTATTTAATAACAGAGGCAGGAAATTCCACACACCTAATCATAAAGTGCAAAGCAGAGTGTGATCAGTGCTAATGACTTAAGGATGTAGACATTCATGAAGAATGGTCATTTCTCATTATTTATCCTCACAGAAAAATATAACTCTCCAGAACTAAGTTTTAGATGACAAATTTAATTATTTTTTAATAGTTTCACAGGAGACCATATATTGCCCAGTATACTTGGAAGAATTAGATATTTATGAAAAAAATATTTTCTTTTTTGCTCCAACCTAAAAAAGGTAACTTACCATTCTCAGAAGTGTATCTAAGGTTCTGTAATGCAGCTACAGCAGCTTGAGTGCCTTGAACATCTTCTCCAGTCTCTGTGATATGGAGATACTGAGTGGATGCTTCTTCAGAAACTTCAGCAGTTAACTTGAAAACAAAACCCAACCAAGGCATGAAAAATCACACTCTTATTTTAGCAATTTAGAGAGCAATGAAAGATCTGAATTTAAAGGAATGTGTTTTAGACAATAAGTACAGTAACAAGAGTTATAGAAACACTGGGTGAGAGAGAATTCAAGTAGACTATTACATGGGAGTCAGGACGTCACCCCACAGCTTGTTCTAGATTCTACTTCAAAACTTGCTTTAAGCAGGCTGAAGTATCTTGGCTTCATTTTTGTTGCATAGTTATTTTAGAACTAACAGAAGACTTTTATTGTATCAGGGTCTAGTAAAAACCTTTTGGGCAAAACTAGTTTATAACACATCCTCTTGCAGATCTGGTAAATGCCTCTGAAGTTTGAAAATGACATTCTCTTTTAAAAAAGTTATCCTTTCCATAACTATGTTTTTTCATGATGAGTTATCACTATGTATTCCTGCTCTGACGGGACTTTATTTATAGCCATGCTGGTGTCCTGGGTGTCCTCTAATTCTTTCAGGTTTGGGTATCTACTCAGGAGAGCATACAGAGAATTATTTGTGAAATGCATGTGGGTGCAAGACTTTGAAGGACCACATTTTAACTGCACTTTGCTTGACCTTGGCCATATAATACCTACTCAATTTTTTCCAATATATTTCAACATTCACTTTAATATATTTCCAGTATTTTTATATTTTTTAAACAATCTATTTGTGGATACTCGAAAACCATTGAACAAGAACTGCACAGTGATTCTTCCAAATGAGGCATTTGATTTATGATGGGGTTTAGACTGCTTGAAATTTAGCTGAATAAGAAACTGTGGAGGTCAGCCAACTGCAGTTGACTCCTGGCTTTTCCTTCTCTCAGTGGACACCAACAATAGCTTACTGAGGCAGTGGAAAAGACTCAGCTTGCTACCTGTAATGCTTTAAATAAAACTGTCTGGATAGTTCTGTGGTTTTCCCACAGCATCTGCAGCTACAGTGAGCTCTGCTTGGAAAAGTAACAATTTTCACTGTAGAACAAATGGCAGGTGACAGCAGAGGAAAGTAAGTCCTCCCAAGGTAGCTGCCCTACACCACCCCACCCCAAACCCAGAAAGGATTGTTGGTTTGGTTTTTTTCTAACCCAGCTTCTTAGGTCTAACTTACATTTTTTAAGGTCTGATCTTAGTGACACATAGTTTGGGTTGAATCCAAAACCACAGAACAAACCATGGAAGACTTACTTTGTACAACAGCACCATTTTTTTATCTGACCAGTTTACAAATTCAGTTTTCTAGATACTAACATTTGCTAGAGCAGCACAATTTTTTCATTAATTCAGTAAGTTTGTAGCTGTGTGCATCTTGCAGCTAACACCAGCGAGTATTTGGCATGTAATGAAATGCAGTAAGGTTTTCAATTTCCTATTTTTTTTTGCTAAAACTTTCACCCTTTCTGCTGCAAATAGAGGACTAGAGTCTTGCAATGCAGAAATTAGGATTAACAACCTTGGAAGTGCTAATAGATATTAAAGCAGTCAAACTTAACAGTCACAGCAATGTATGCATTCAAATTGGAGATGAGATCACATGATCTCAAAGTCAAGAACACATTTTTGGAAACTTCCTATTCTTATCTGTATTTTTCTCCCTTGGATATGTTTAAATCTTAGTGCCAAAGCCATGGCAGCTTTGCATTACCTCCCACTTGGTCTCCCCATCATGTTCCACTAGCTTCATTCCATGCTTGTTTTTAAGATGCCTGTTGAACTCCCATTTTGTACCGTACACAAAGCTGCAAACAGGACACTTAATGCCACCTATAAAGGAAACACAAATAAATTCCTTAAGTTATTTTCATATAAATTCTTTTTCAAGACAATAAGAACTTCTTTAATTTGACTTCATTTCGGTCATACCGTATACCTGTAATTTAAAAGGGTTTCCTTTAGCTATGTATCCAACAGGAAAAAAAGGGGGGAAAAATAAAGTACTTGAGGTCTCACAATGCTTAAAGGGCAATTTTGGATAATGGTAATGGAACGATTCTGGAACAATTCATGTATCTGGGAAGCTTGAGCAATCCTTCCCAGCTTGCATGCCTCCCTTTGTGGATGTCA